CCAGGTTGGCCAGAGGGTTGTTTGAGGCTGGCCGGAGTGTTGGCCAGGGTAGTTCTTCGACTAGAAGTCCTTCCCAAGTGGCCGTCGGAGTTGTGATCGTTTTCTTATTCATTGTTTTGCCGATCGGCGCGGGCCTTTGCACTCGCCCTCCCCCCCCCCTATCGATTAGATCTTGTTTCTGTTGGCGCCTGTTCCAAGTAGGTGGAGTCTCCCCCATAGGACGCACTGTTGCAGACAGTCGCATTAAGCTGAGGTCCAGTGCCAGACCCCCCCTCCCCCCACCCCCTCCCGCCTAATGTCGACACGTCGAATAAGAACACGTTCACGTTCTGATTCCGCATCGGTTCCCACCAGGAGCAGGGGGCAGGAGTATCGGAGGTGGATAGACCTCCTACTCTGACACGTCGATTAAGGTATTGGCCGTTTTCGATTCGCGAGAGGGCGTCGCGGCCGTCATTTTTGCGGGTCCAGGACCGTCGGTTTCGGTCCCAGGCCGTTTTAACTAAGGGGAGGTTTACTAAAGGGAGGTATGTCCACCGCCGAGAGTAGAGGAACCAAAAACAGCATGAACATGAACTTCAGGAGGTTCGCGCGCATCTTATTTCTTGGATCGGCGTTGGGGGTCCTCCTGCCGGGCGACCGGAGCGCGCCAGGGGCGGCGCCAGAGGCGCCGCCAGGGGGGGCTCCAGCGCCGATCCAGGACATCCGCGGGGGGCTCCGACATCTTTATTTTGCTATGATTTTTTTTCTCTTCAGACGGGAGGGGTGGTTGCTGCTCCACCAGGACACCGTGCGCGCGCCAGGGGCGGCGCCAGAGGCGCCGCCAGGGGGGGCTCCAGCGCCGATCCAGGACATCCGCGGGGGGCTCCGACATCTTTATTTTGCTATGATTTTTTTTCTCTTCAGACGGGAGGGGTGGTTGCTGCTCCACCAGGACACCGTGCGCATGCTGTGCTCATGCACTTGTCCGGGTCGGTCTCGCGCCCAATGCTCGGAAGTTGCACCGGTGAAGATAGTAGACGGCTTGTCAGGAAGCAGTAGCGCTTCACAGGGAGAGAATGAGGAGGAGAACGAGAGCGAGGAGGAGGAGGAGGAGGAGGACGAGGAGGAGGGGGGAGGAGGAGGGGGAGGAGGAGGGGAGGAGGAGGAGGGGGAGGAGGAGGAGGAGGAGGAGGAGGAGGAGGAGGAGGAGGAGGAGGAGGAGGAGGAGGAGGAGGAGGCGGCGGCGGCGGCGCACGCCAGCCGCCACTGCCAGCCGCCCCTCCCCTCCCTTCCCTTGGTGTCGAGTCCGCCGGTCGGTCGTCCTTCTTCCCAGCCGTCCTGCGGTGTTGGGCCCTCGTTTGGAAGAGACGGTCCCCGCGTTCCCTCCTCCCTTCTTTCCCTCCTCCTCTCCCCCTCCTCTCTCCTCCCGTCACCCCCTCACTCTGGCACGCCCCTCGCACGCTTCGCGGCCCCACGGGAGCTCCGCCGAAGGTCCCAGTGGTGCAGTTCGCATGCGTCCCCTCCACCCATTTCGGCACACCCCTCACACGTTTCGTGGCCCCATAGGAGCTCCGCTGAAGGTCCCAGTGGTACAGTTCGCATGCGTCCCCGCCACCCATACCCATTTCGGCAGTAGCTGTATCAGTACCTTGAAGTCTCCCCCGTGGTACGTGGCTTGGCGCGTGCGCCCTTCTCATGGCGCCAACATCCTGGAGAATTTCGTTCCGGATTTCGAAATTAGCTTCGGGCGGATTTTTTGGGCCAGGAATGAAGACTTAAACAAATCCACGTGAAATTCTTCACGCTTTGCGTATCCCCACCAACCCCGCACCACCTCTCGCATCCGGTCCGCTAAGGTGCTGCTTAGGCCACCGGTTTGCCGGCGCGTTAGGCAATTAGGTTCGCGCGTAGCCCGCCCGACCCTTCGGACGCCGCTTGCGCCTTCGCTTGCGGCCGCGACAAAAAGTATCCCCACCAGCCCATTCAGAAACCCTGGCCTTCAGAACTGACGGGAAAAAGGGACGAAGAGACAAAGCGAGCAAGGGGGTGGCCTTGGAAGCTCTCGTCGGGCCATCCCTGGGTGCCGCGTGGGGGCGATGGGAAGAGGAGGAGGAGGAGGAGGAGGAGGAGGAGGAGGAGGAGGAGGAGGAAGAGGAGGAGGAGGAGGAGGAGGAGGAGGAGGAGGAGGAGGAGGAGGAGGAGGACGAGGAGTACGAGGACGCGGATGAGGACGAGGACGGGGAGGACGAGGACTAGAATGAGGACGACGCGGACGAGGACTCATTGAACCATCTAGAGGTATTCTTGCGGCTGCTGCTGCTGCTGCTCTCTGGGAGTTTTTGGGGCCCTCTTGGAACCCTCTTGGTAACCCTGGAAGGCTTCTTGGGATCTTCTTGGAGGCCATCGATTACAGGATGGGGGAGTCCCCAACTCAGCTCCCCCCTCAGGGGCCGGCAACTCGCTTCTTTGGGCTCTCTTGGAGCGCTTTTGGGGCCGTTTGGAGCATCTTGGGAGCCATCTTGAGCCAGCTTCGGCTATCTGAGCCATCTTGGAGGTCATCTTGGGCTCTCGGAGGCCGCTCGGGGGCCTCTTGGGGGCGTCTCGGGTGCCTCTTGGGGCCCTCTTGGGACCCTCTTGGAGCCGTCTTGGGCTTCTCTTGGGGCTCTCTTGGGAGCCCTGGGGCGCATCTTGGGGCCTTCTTCGAGGCTATCGATCACAGGAGGGAGGGTCCCGATCGAGGCCCCCCCCTCGGGGGTCACGATCCTCGTGAGGGGTGTCCAAAATTCATGAAGGATCCGGTTCGGTTAGGTTCCGAAGTGCGTCCGGTTCGGTTCGGTTCAGTTCGGTGTCGGAATTCTCCGGTCCGGTTCGGTTCGGTTCGTCGTTGTGAGGGGTGCCGTCCGGTTCGGCCCGGTTCGCCATGCGTTTTGCTCCGGTTCCGCCCGGTTCGCCACGTAGAACGGGGGGTTCGCCATGGACCAGTTCTGGAGGCGATTCTGCAAGTCAAAGAGGCGTCTTTGCAAGTTTACGACGTCATTTTGCAAGCCCCAGGGGCGATTTGGCAAGTCCCGGAAGCCATTTTGCAAGTCCCGGACGCGTTTCTGCAATTGCTGGAATCGATTTTGCAGGTCCCGATTCTGCAAGTCCCGGAGGCCATTTTGCCAATCCCGGGCGCAGTTTGCAAGCTGCACCTCTCGGAAGCCATTTTGCAAGTCCCAGAAACCATTGTGCAAGTCTCGGAGGCCCTTTTGCAAGTCCTGGAGGCCCCCCGGGGGCCTGATTTTGCGCGTCCCCAGCAGCTTGTCTACAAGTCCCCAGAGGCCTTTTTTGCAAATCATTTGCACAAGGCCTCCAGGGACTTGCAAAATCAGGGCCCCCGGGGGCCTGCGGGGACTTGCAGAATCGGGGCCCTGGGAGGCCTCCGGGGATTTGCAATATCGGGGCCCCTGGGGGCCTCGGGGGACTTGCAGAATCGGGGCCCTGCATGGGGGGCCTCGGGGCCGAACGGCCTCGAGACTTGCAAAACCAGGGCTCTGGAGACCTCCGGTTCATGGCGGTTCCATCTGGTTCGGCCCGGTTCGGTTCGAAATCGATTCGGGTTCGGTTTGGTTCGGTTCAAAATTGGGTCTCGTTCGGTTCGGGTTCGGTTCGGTGCCGGTTCGGTTCGGCCGGTTCGGTTCGATTTTGGAGCCTTCCTGAAAATTGGCCCTTCCAGGGGCCGAAAAAGGACCCTCCAACCACCCGCGAACTCCCCCCAAAAAGTCCTGGGGAAGGGGTAGGGGGAGGGGTCAAGATTCCCTCCCCGCCCGCAAGCCGTCTTGCTCACTCCCATCCGCCCTCCCAACACATACGTAGCACCCGAGTCTGCCCCGAGCCTCAGCATATTCAGCAGTCGTCTTTGGATGGGCCGCTACTGGGGGCCAATCCGCCGCCGCCGCCGCCGCCGCCGCCGCCTCCGCCGCCGCCGCCGCCGCCGCCGCCCCCGCTGCCAAATCGCCGCCGCCGCAGCCGTTGCCGCCGCAGCCGCTGCCGCCACCGCCGCCGCCGCCGCCGCCACCGCCGCCGCCGCCGCCGCCGCCGCCGCCCCCGCATGCGCCACCGCCACCGCCGCCGTCGCCGCCCGTCGCCGCCGCAGCCGCCGCAGTTGCCGCCGCCGCCAAGTGTACTCTGTATTGTTTTTTGACAGGGATGGTGGGGAGAGGCCGCATCGGGTTGGTCGCGCATGCTCCGAATTTAGAGGCATAGTGTGTTTTGGTGCGTTTTTTTGTACCAAGGGATGGTGTGGGGGGGTGCCCTCATGGTTCCTGGTTGGCTACCAGTCGCCTGGCGGAAGGGGGTGTTTATTTATAGGGAACAGTGGTAGACCCCTCCCCGAAGGGGAAGAGATGTTTTTGGAAGAGGAAATATATAATATCGTTAGACCACCTACGCCCAGAGGGCTGGTGGGATTCATAGTAAGAGTGCTAGTCATAATACGGACATTCATAATACGATAATAACAATAATGCGAATACCAAGAATGATACTCATGAGACTGATAATAACAATATGAATTTGCAGAAGAAGAAGACGAATCATACTAATGTTTTTTTAAGCAGAGTGCGACTACTAATATTGCTAATAAGAAAAACAACATTAGTACTACTTAGAAAACCAGTAATACGACACGTAATACTAACAAGGAAACGACAACTGTTTTACTAGTAAAACGAAGAATACGAATACGAATACAAATAACCACACGATTCATAAACATAACGAGTAATACGACTAATGGACCTAATATGAAACAGCCAATAACAATAATACGATTATTATTAATACTACGTATCACAAACACAACAACACTACTACGAAAAAGACGCATCACGTGACCAATCATAATACATACAATCATGAGACTTGGACAATGATAATCACAAAGATAATATTCTGCATGCTAATAATAATCATACTAGTTATAAGCGTAGTACGAAGAGGAGGAGGAGGAAGAGGAGGAGGAGGAGGAGGAATCCGAGGATGGCTACCACGTGCTGTGCGTCCTCGATGCCAGCGTGGCGCTCGTGTACCAGGGCGGCGTGGCGAGCGAGGCGCCCCTGCGCGTGACCCTGGACGGCGACGGCGGGGACGCCCTGCGCGCGAGCCTCGGTGGCGTCCTGAGGCTCCACGGGTGCTTCTCCAGGCTTCGGATGCTCCAGCCTACTTTAGCCTTGATCACCAGAAAGAGTTTCGAGCACCAAAAAAGTACCCAAACGCGAGTGCTTTCACGTGTCGAGCCCTGGGAGACACTCGTCCGACACTGTTTCGACACTGTGTCGACACTCTTTCGACATTTTTCCGGGTGCTCGGACTTATTTCTGGGATCTGGTCTTTAAGTACGATGGGAGCAACATAACCTTAGGCCTCCTCAGCCAAGGCTTATGTTGCTCCCATCGTACTTGAGGACCACATCCCAGAAATCATCTCGAGCACCCAGAAAAGTGTCGAAAGGGTGTCGAAACGGTGTCGGACGAGCGTCTCCCAGGGCCCGACACGTGAAAACCCTGGAGTTTCGGTGCTTTTTTTGGTGCTCGAGATTTTCGAGATTTTTTGGCGGTCAAGGCTAAAGTAGGTCGGAACATCATAAGCCAGGGCGACGACTCTTGAGCTTCGAGCTTGCAGGCTGGGGCTTCGCGTCGCCGCGGCCGGATTCGCCTCCGGCCTCCTGGTCAGAGCGCACCCCGGGAGAGCTCTTGGTGGTCGGCTCCTGACCCCCCCAGGCCCAGGAGGGAGGAGGGAGGAGGGAGGAGGGAGGAGGGAGGGAGGAGGGAGGAGGGAGGAGGGAGGAGGGAGGAGGGAGGAGGGAGGAGGGAGGAGGAGGGAGGACCCCAACTCACGGCGGAAGGCTGCTTGGCCATTTTCGGGGCCCAACTGGGATGGGCGCGGGGGTTGCCAAGGGGATAAGGGGGGCTATCAGTGGACGCCAAAGGGGTTATATACCTGGCCTAAGCTAGCGTATAAGTGAGTTACACATGCCCCAAGTGGCTTGGGGGGATTAGACAACTCCGCCAAGTAGGCGGAGCCCGCTTTGCCTGGATCGCTATCCCCCAAGCCACTTGGGACATCAGCAACCCACTTATAAGCTAGGTTTGGCCAGGTACAACCCCTTTGGCGTCCACTGATAGCCCCCCTATCCCCTTAGCACCCCCGGCACCCATCCCAGAAGAGACGGGGGTCAGTGCAAACGGGGGTCAGCCAGAGCGTGCGATCTTGTAGGATCCTGCAGGGCAAGGGTCGCATGGACCCAGGCTTGGGTGTAGGATCCATCAGGATCTTGCAGGATCCTTCGCGTCGACCCGGGCTCGGGTGCATGATCTTGCAGGATCTTGCAGGATTCTGCAAGGCTTGACTCACCCGGGACTGGATCGACCTGGGTCCGAAGATCCCCGGCATTGTCGGCCTTTGGGAGCCCTTGCCGGGCCTGGGACCTTGCAGAAGCGGCTCGGGATGGCAACACACCGGTCCCGGGGCAGAGGTAGGCCTCCGGGGGTCCAACGCTGCGAGAGGCTCCTAGTTGCTTCTCCTGGCCTTGCAAAGAGCAGATGAGTTCGGAGGATCGCGCCGCACCACGGATGCATCGGCGATGCGGCTCGATTTTCTCCACGCCGACGGCGCTGGTGCATCGGCGATGCGTCGGCGAGGCGGCGCAGTCCACCGACCCCATCTATCTGGTGGTCGACCATGGACCCTTTTTATGAATCGCAGCCATCCTGCTTTCGCGCCGAAAAGCGACGAAGGCCGCCGAGTACCATCAGAAGACGGCCGAAGACGGCCGAAGACCACCGAAGACCGCCGGAAGAGCGCCAGAGGACCGTCGCCACCGAAAAACACCGCCGGAGACCGCCCAGGGCCGGTGGGTAGCAGCGGGTCCATGGTCGGACACGTAGTTCAGGAGAGGAAAAAACACACAGACACAATTCATCCTCGATCCCCCAGATAATATGGGAAAATATGGGAGGTGGGGGGGAAGACAGAAACCCAGAAAATATGGGAAAGTATGGGGCATAGTTTTATTCGTGTGTATTTACTTGTGTGTCCTGGGGCCCCTTCAGTAACATCTGCAGTCGACCCGCACAGCGAGAATGCTCGGCTTTCCAAGGTTACCCTTGCATCCTTGCCCCTGCGGGCCAGCGCCCCTCCGAGGCCCTGGCATCCTTACCGCGCGTACTTATTTGTTGTAGACGTTGACTGTACTCTCGGATCCCGTTCCTCTCGCTTCGGAGGTTGATAGAGTTCAGTTGGGCATGTCCCTCTGCTGAAGGAGTATTCAAGCACCGTCACAAGAAACAGCCCGGGGCCGTTTTCCCGATTCTCTTCGGACCCTGCCTGAGGACCTTGTGTCAATGTTTTATTCTGTTTTCCTCCAAGATCTGCCTGCAGGGGGACACCATAGGGGGTGCGCAGGGGGTGGTCCCTCACCGCGGCGCTTCTCCTCTCCACCTCTCCCCTTGAGTGGCGTCACCAACGGTATCGGCGGGGGGCAACGGCCACCAACATCATTCTCACATGCTTCACCTCAGCCATCATCACTCCAGCCATAATATAAGTAGTATGTGGGGCTCCTCGGTAGCGTAATTCTTTTTCCTCCAAGATCTGCCTGCAGGGGGACACGCCCGAGCGAAACGATCGAGCCCCCACCCTGCCCACTCGAGCAGCGGCGCGCCCTCCTCGGGCCCCCGCGCGCGAGAGAGGGTGCGCCGCGGCCGCCCTGCTTTTCTTGCCGGCGCGCCCGCGCCCGCCCGCGGGGCCCGGCCGTGGGCTGCCTCCTGCGAAAGGCTCTGGCGGCAGCGCTCGGGCGTGTGTCTTTGTTCTTCGGCGAGGGCCATCGAGGAGCAGATCCTGGGGAGTTAGATTCTGCATTGATGGCGTCATCGCTGGCTGCTCGGTGGCTACTACTCTGATCCGTGCGCACTGTCTCGAGGGGTACGACAGCATTCCCCCGTCCCCCTTCCACGGCCCTGGACGTCTATATTGACGATCAAGGTTTGTCGTCGACTGGTCGCCCGCAGGCGGTCGTGGCGGCGATGGGGGCTGGGGCCGTGGCCTTTTACAGCGTCGGCCGAGGAGCAATTCGGCGAGGGTCATCCAACGAAAGAGTGAGTTGTTCGGATGCATCTCCTGGGGAGTCAGATTCTGGCTCTGTCCCGGTGCGAAATCGGCCTACTCTGGCTCGATCCGGCTGAATCTGGCGCACTCCCGCTGAAATCCGGCTTGACCCCGCTTAATCCGCGGCCTACTTTGGCGTAGCAGCCCCCCCAGTGGGATCTATCGACAGAGTAAGCGCACGAAGTCGAAGCACGGCACGGGGAACGGGCGTCGGAGCGGTGGCGAGAAGGGTGTTTCTTGCCAGAGGGGGGCTCTCTGTTCACCCCCGATAGCTGCCAGAGGTGGTGGCCCTGGGGCCCATGGGCCGATGCTCGAGATTCTTGAGCCTCGGGAGCGGAGGAGGAGGAGGAGGGAGGAGGAGGAGGGAGGAGGGAGGAGAGGAGGAGGAGGAGGAGGAGGAGGAGGGAGGAGGAGGGAGGGAGGAGGAGGAGGAGGAGGAGGGAGGAGAGGATGAGGGAGGAGGAGGAGGAAGAGGGGAGGAGGAGGAGGAGGAGGAGGAGGAGGAGGAGGAGGTCCTGGCCCAAGGGCAGATGTTCCATGCTCTTTGCTGTGCTTTTGCCTGTTCTTGGGCCTCCTGGGGGCTTCCGAGGGCCTCTGGAGACCTCCGCGGGACGTCCCTGCATGGAGGCCTCTGGAGAGCTCTGAAGGCATCCTGAGACGAGGCCAGGGCGAGGATCAATTCGGGGGAGGACGGATCGAGAATCTCCGAGATCTGGTGGCTCTGAAGGAGGTATCGGGCGCCGCGGCCCTCTCAGAGCGTCTGGAACGAACTGGGAGCGTTCTGGAACGAACTGGGAGCGTTCCGGAACGAACTGGGAGCGTTCCGGAACGTTCTGGAATGGACTTATTCTCGTCCTAGCCCCGTCCTCGCATACAGAGGTGACCTGGGTCCAGGGCGTCCCCAGTCTTTTGCGGGGAGGTCCCGGCGGCCCGCAGAGATGACCCTTCACGAGGTGGGGGGGCAGGCCCCAGGGATCAGTATCGTTTAACCGATCCCCATCCCCAGCGGCGTGGCCTGGGCCCCTCTGACCGATTTCCCCCCTAGATGGGGACATAGGTCGCTCCCTTCGGGTTTCGAGGGGTGTATCCCCAACTGGGGTGGTAATTTGGTGGGGGTCTCGAAGGGGATGGGGATGGGGATTGGTTAAACGATACCGAGGGGATCATGGTCACCTCTTGCCGCTGCCGAGGTTTGGAGAAACGATCCAGTACGAGGTGCAAGGGAAGCCGCCGATGAAGTGGAAGAGGCGCCCCTGGGCGCTGTTCACCGCCAAGGGGCAGCAGTTGCCCGTCGGGAAGGAGGCCGCCCTGCTGGCCAAGGCCTTCCAGAGCCGGCGGAGGCCCATGACGCTGCTGCTCTTCGAGGGGGGCGCCTGGCGCTGGCCGACGATCCGCGTGGGCTACGAGAGGCCCGTCATGAGGGGCATCAAGCTGACCACAGTGGCCCGCCAGCCTGCCCTGTTCGAGGTGGTCATCGACCGCGACAGGGCCACCGCGGCCGACGGCGGCGGCGAGGGCGAGGAGCAGCTCAGCAGGGGGCTCCTGTCCGACGTTGTCGAGGTCTGACGAAGAACCGCGGCATGCTAGCCAGCGTGGACCCCGAAGAGCGTTTTTTTCTGCAATCCGTGTGGTGCCATCTGGGTGGGGCAAGCAAGGCGAGGCAGGCTGGGCGGTGCAGAGCGTGTTGGGCAGCCTGTGCCGTGCAAGGCAGCGCAACGCAATGCGAATCAATGCGAATCAACGCGAAGCAATGCAAAGCCACGCAAAGCAATGCAACGCAATGCAAATCAATGCAAAGCAATGCATGGCAATGAAAAGCAATGCAACGCAATGCAACACAATGCAATGCAATGCAATGCAACGCAAAGCAGTGCACGGAAACAGAATGCAAAGCAAAGCATCGCGAAGCAATGCAAAGCAAAACAAACAATCACAGCAACGCAGACATATGCAAATTGTAAGATAATGCAATGCGATGCAACGCAATGCAAGGCAATGCACCGCAATTTAATGCAAACCAATGCAAAGGCAAACACATCAATGCAAAACTATGCAATGCACAGCAATTCACAGCAACGCAAAGCAACGCAAACCGCTGTAATGCAATTCAAATCACTGAAATGTCGTGTAAAGCAATGCAAACCGCTGCAATGCAGTTCGAAGCACTACACAGCAATGCAATGAAGCACAATGCAAGCGAAGCAGAGCAATACACAGCAACGCAAAGCAAAGATAACCAATGCAAAGCAATACGCATCGACGCAAAACAATGAAAAGCAATGCGAAGCAATGCGACCAGCGGCGACGGCGGCGACGGGCGGCGACGGGGCGGCGACGGCGGCCACGTAGCTGCCAGACCGCCGCGCAGGCCCAGACGACGGGTGGCGACGAGGCGGCGACGGGGCGGCGACGTAGCCGCCTGACCGCCGCGGAGGCCCATGCGACGGGCGGCGACGAGGCGGCAGGCCCATACGACGGACGGCGACGAGGCGGCGATTGGGCGTCGACGGCGGCCGCATAGCCGCCCGACCGCCGCGCAGGTCCAGACGACGGGCGGCGACGAGGCGGCGACCGGGCGGCGGCGGCGGCCACACAGCCGCCAGAGCGCCGCCCAGGCCCAGACGACGGGCGGCGACGAGGCGGCGATGGGGCGGCGACGGCGGCCACATAGCTGCCAGACCGACGCGCAGGCCCAGAAAAGAATTAAGGACCCCAAAGCGCAAGCACTGTTTGGGGAATAAGCGTGAACTTTCTGTCATCCCCGCGGATCTCTTGGATCGGCGATGGACATGCGCCAGGGATGGGGCCCAGCGCCGATCCAAGACATCCACGTGGAGCTCCGAAAATGAGGCTTACGCCATCCTGCCGAACCCCAGACGAAGTGAGGAGCGTGTGGAGATCGCTACGACGTGGTAGGGGCAATCGTATCTTACATGAGAGAGCGCGTTCTGTGGTCGCTTGGAGGGGAGGGAGTTGGAACCGACCCCCCCCCACCCCTGGATGGAGGGGGGGGTTCGAACCCCCCCCCACTCCTTCCCTCCCCTCCCCCGTGACGGAGGGTGTCACCCGGTGTGGGGGAGGCTTCGAACCCCCCCCCTTTCCACTTCTCCTCTCTCTCTCTCATCGGGCCGGCGCCGGTGTCGGCGGCGGCTGGCGGCGGCGGCGGGGGTGCTGGTGGTGGTGGGAGTGGCGGTGGTGGTGGTGGTGGTGAGGTGGTTTGTGGTGGTTGTGGTGGTGGTGGTGTTGGGTTGTGTTGCTGGTAGTAGTGGTGGTGGTGGTTGTGGCGGTGGTGGTGGTGGTGGTGGTGTGGTAGATTGTGGTGGTGGTGGTGGTGGTGGTAGTGGTGGTTGGTTATTGTATTGGTGGTGGTGGTGGTGGTGAGCTGTTGTGGTGGTGGTGGTGGGTGTGGTGGTGGTTGTGTGTGGTGGTTTGGTGGTGGTGGTGGTGGGTTGAGGTGGTGATGGTGGTGGTCGTGGTGGTGGCGGTGGGTGTGGTGGTGAGGCGTGGTGGTTTGTGGTGGTGGTGGTGGTGGTGGTGGTGGTGGGCTGTGGTGTTGGTGGTGGTGCCGCTGCTGCTGGTAGTGGAGCTGTTGGTGGTGGTGGGTGGTGGGTGGTGGGTGGTGGTGGTGGTGGTGGTGGTGGTCGTGGTGGTGGTGCGGTGGTTTGTGGTGGTGGTGGTGGGTTGTGGTGATGGTGGTGGTGGTGGCGGTGGTGGTGATGATGGTGGTAATGGTGTGGTGGTTTGTGGTGGTGTTGGTGGTGGTGTTGGTTGTGGTGGGTTGTGGTGGGTTGTAGTGGTGCTGGTGGTGGTGGCGGCGTTTTTGGTGGTGGTGGTGGTGAGGTGGTTTGTGGTGATGGTGGTGGTTGTGGTGGTGGTGGGTTGTGGTGGTTGTGGTGGTGGTTTTGGTGGTGGCGGTGGTGGTGGTGGTGGTATGGTGGTCTGGTGGTTGTGGTGGTGGTGGTGGTGGTGGTGTGGCCTTCGGCTCTTCCCGCCACTGTGTTTTGGCTTTGGTTCAGAGTTCTAGTGGATGCCTCTTGAGGTCTCGTCAGAAGGGTCTCGGGGGCGTCTGAGAAGCATGCGAGGGCTCGATATGGCGATTTGTGTGTTCCCTCTGCGGCCTCTGGGCCATCTCTGGTTATCGTCGCTGCGTCCCCGCCGTCGGCGCTGCTGGCCGCCGCCAGCGCCTGCGCCGGCGCCAGCGCGGGGTAGGGTGGGGGTGGGTTTGAACCCCTCCCCCGCCCTCCTGGGCCCTCTCTGGTCATCGTCGCTGCGTTGGCGCTGCGGCGGCCGCCAGCGCTGGCGCCAGCGCCGGCGCCGGCGAGGGAGGGGGGTTTGAACCCTCCTTCCCCTCCTGGGCTCTCTGGTCATCGTCGCTGCGTTGGCGCTGCGGCGGCCGCCAGCGCCGGCGCTGGCGCCGGGGGGGGTGTTGGGGGGGAGGAGAGTCCCCTGGTTCTGATCGATGGCGCCGAGTGTTGGGGGGGGGCCCACCCCCCCGTTTGAAACGCGCCGCCGAATGTTTCCAAGGCAAGCGCCCGTGAAACTCGCTCTCTCTTGCATGACGAGCTGGGTCTGAGTCGTTGGGGGCTTGTATTCCCTTCCACGTCCCCCCGCGGCTTTCCCTTCTTCTGACAGGGTAGCAGATCTCAGGGGAGGGCGAGGTGGAAGCGTATGTCTGTTCCATTATTTCATCTTCCATAGGTGGCGAAGCCCCAGCTGGCGAAGCAGCAGAACTCCGGCGGGGTCCGGACCAGCCAGCAGGCGTTCCTCGAGTACGACCGGGACCCCAAGCTGCAGACCCTCCGCGAGGGCACCGCGCTCCTGGCGCGGGTCCCGGAGGAGAACCTGGAGAGCCTGCAGGTGGTGAGATACAGCACGGACCAGTTCTACGACGCCCACCGCGACTACTGGGACCCTCGGGAGTTCCCGAACCCGAAGCAGTTCACCGACAGAGATGGCCGTCGAGGGGAAAACAACTGGAGCCGGCTGGGGGGCCGAGGTGGTCCAGCACCTGGGCTGAGGGGCTCCCTCGCCGCCATGGCCGGACGCGGCCGGAGCAACTTGCCGGTTTCGACCCCGGGAGGGGTCCAGGGACCGACGCTGAGGAGGAGGGGGTGGAGGAGGAGGAGGAGGAGGAGGAGGAGGAGGAGGAGGAGGAGGAGGAGGAGGAGGAGGAGGAGGAGGAGGAGCGGATCTGCTTTCGTTCCCCCTCTTGGGCGACTTTCTCGGGGCCCTTCCAGCGCAGACTCCCCAGCGCAGGCTCCCCAGCGCACCACGTCGCGGGGTCCTGTGCACGCCGATCTTGGTCATGCTCCGTGCCGGCCGTCGCCGACCCGCGAGGATGATTCAGGAATCGACGACGACCAAGATGGGCGATGGCCAAGATCGGCACCCGCGTTTCCCCGCCCAGTCTTGGCCGTGGTCATCGCGTTCCTTCCTCGACCACGCGCAGAGGGAGGTAACTATGAGGAAGGGGGGAAGGCTTCTTAGAAGCACCCCTGCCTTGTCTCAGAAGGCGCGGGCCTTGTCCATAGATGCAGGGCCAGCGCCTTCTGAGATGCAGCGTCCTTCTAAGAAGCCTTCTCCACTCCTCCCTACCGCCTTGTGCGCGCCGCCAACTCTCCCTCCAGGCTACTGGAATCAGCGGCACGCGACGCTGCTGTGGTACCTGCAGATGCCGGAGGCGGGTGGCCAGACGTGGTTCCCCAGGGCTTCGGGCGGGCCGATGCTGGTGAGGCTTGGGGCTACCCGCGCAGACAGCCCGCCCCCCATGCAGTCCCAGCCGCCTGGGTTTCTAAGGAGGAGGAGGAGGAGGCCAAGGAGGAGGAGGCAGAGGCGGAGGCGGAGGCGGAGGCGGAGGCGGAGGAGGCGGAGGCGGAGGCGCAGGCGGAGGCGGATGCGGAGGCGGAGGCGGAGGCGTAGGCGGAGGCGGAGGCGGAGGCGGAGGCGGAGGCGGAGGCGGAGGCGGAGGAGGCGGAGGAGGAGGAGGAGGAGGAGGAGGAGGAGGAGGAGAAGGAGGAGGTGGATGAGGAGGAGGAGGAGGAGGAAGAGGGAGGGAGGGAGGGAGGGAGGGAGGGAGGGAGGAGGAGGAGGAGGAGGAGGGGGAGGAGGACTGTCAGCTGGATTTGTTTGTAGCTCGTTCTGGAGGAGGGGGAGGAGGACTGTCAGCTGGATTTGTTTGTAGCTCGTTCTGGATCCCTGTCCTTCCACAACTCAGATCTCGCCGTTGCTGATGCTGGGTTGGCCTGGCAGCGCTCAACACCCTGGGGCGTCGCTTCGCGCCTCGCGGCTGAGGTGTGGAGACCGCCCCAGACTGCTCGGGGGGCCTGTTGAGGCCAGCTGGGACTACCCATGGGGGCCTGCTGAGGCCAGCCGGCGCTGCCTGGGGGGGGTCTGTCTGTTCGCAGCCCGAAGCCTTACCGGCCGATACCCTACGGCGCGTGGCTCGCGTGCGACGGCCGGGGCGCGAGCGTGCACCCGACCAACGCCTCCGCGGTGCTGTTCTACAACCTGAAGGCCGACGGCGACATCGACGAGTTCAGCTGGCACAGCGGTTGCCCCGTCACGGCCGGCGTCAAGTGGGCGGCGAACAGCTTGGGGGCGTCCAAGGGGGGGCCCCTGGGGACTTCCGTGGGGGTGTCGATCTCGTGGCCGGAGTCATGACATCTGCCAAATATCGTAGCCCCAGCACGCATGAAAATGGCCGCAAGAGGCCTGCAAGAGGGCTCGAAACGCGAACACATCGTTCGAACACGCCCAGGATGGCCTCCAGATGGCCTAAAAGGCTCTTCCAACACGGCCCAAGGGCTCTCCAAGAGCACTCCTCCAAGGGCCCCAACTCCAAATCATTGGTTCTCCTGCTTTGGATGGATTTCAGCAGTTCTGCCTGTTCAGCGTCCCGACGCTCCAAGACGGTCCTAGGCATTCAAATATCGTCCCAAGAGGCCCCACGAGGGCGCCGAGATGGCCCAGGGACGCCCTGCCGCGGGCGCGAGGCGGGGCCCCGGGCTGGGGCCCTCGGACCAGGGGCCCCCGGGTGGCCCTGCCGTGGCGTTTGGGGCTCTCTAGAATTGCCCGAAGACGGTCCGGTCTATAGGCGATACGTTTCCGGGCAATTTCGTATCGAGCGCGGGGTTCAAGAAAGCCTCGAGGGGCAGCGGATTTTCTTTGCGGGGAAAAAAAAAGAAATGCCCGAAGACGGCCCCGGATCGCCAGAAATGGCTCTTCCAGACCGCGAAAACGACCAATGATGGCCGAGATCACCCCAGAAGGAGCCCCTGACTGTCCAGGAGGCCTCCAAGACGCCCCAAGAGGCCTTTCAAGATGCCTCCCAAAGAGCCCCAGGAGGCACGGATTTTTGAGTTCTCGCCTTTTCAGTTTCCCGACGCTCCACGACGGCCCAAGAGGCCCGATGTCCGCTCCAAGACAGCCCCAGAGGCCTCGAAGACGGCCACAAGACAGCCCAAGAGGGCCCCAAGAGGGTACCTGAGGCGCCCAAGACGGCCCGGGAGGGCCCCAAGACGGCCCCAAGAGAGAGCCAAGAGGGGTAACACGAACCGAAATTCCGAGCCTTCCACCCCGAGAGGCTCTCAGGAGGCCCCGGGAAGCCCCCAACAGGCCGCAAGAGGCCCCAAGAAGCGCCCCAGGGGGCCGAAGAGGTTCCAAGAGGCCTCCCACGAAGGCCCCGAGAGGCAAAAGAGATTGTCTTGCCATCGGTTTTTCATTGATTTTCAAGGTTTCAGCCTTCGGGCGTCCCGACGCTCCAAGACGGCCCAAAAGGCCTGCAAGACCGTTCTAAGATAGCCCAAGAGGCCTCCAACAGGGCCCCAGGGCGGCCCACGAGGGCCCCAAGAGGTTACCTGAGGCGCCCAAGACGGCCCAGAGGGCCCCAAGACGGCCCCAAGAGGGACCCAAGAGGGGCAACACGAACCGAAATTCCGAGCCTTCCACCCCGAGAGGCTCTCAGGAACCCCCAAGAGTGCCCGCAATAGGATCTAAGAGGCCTCATGAAGCTCCCAGAGGGCCGAAGAGGTTCCAAGAGGCTTCCCAAGAAGGCCCGAAGAGGCACAACTCATTGTTTTCCCATCGGTTTTCGATGGATTTTAGAGTTTTCAGCCTTTTGGCACCCCGACGCTCCAAGACGGCCCAAGAGGCCCCCAAGACCGCTCCAAAATTGCATAAGAGGCCCCCAAGAGGACCCCAAGGCCCTTGCATCCTTATCGTGCGTCCTCATTCTACGAGTTGGACTGAAGCAGCATCTTGCGCGCTCGGGTTTGGCCTCCCCTCGGCCCCCGAACATCGCGCATCCAAGGTCGCTCTTGCCTCGGGCCACCCTTGCGTGTAGCCCTCACCTCCACCTCGGATGCGTGGGAGTAGGAGGAGTTGGAGGAGGACGAGGAGGAGGAAGAGGCAGGAGAGAGGAGGAAGAGGATGAGGAGGAGTTGGAGGAGGAGGAGGAGGAGGAGGAGGAGGCAGGAGGAAGGAGGATGAGGACGAGGAGGAGTTGGAGGAGAAGGAGGAGGACAAGGAGGAGGAGGAGGAGGAGGAGGAGGAGGAGGAGGAGGAGGATGAGGAGGAGGAGGAGGCAGGAGGCAGGAGGCAGGGAGGTAGGCGGCAGGAGGCAGGAGGCAGGAGGCAGGAGGCAGGAGGCAGGAGGCAGGAGGCAGGAGGCAGGAGGCAGGAGGCAGGAGGCAGGAGTGAGGAGGGAGGCAGGAGGAGGATGAGGAGGAGGCAGAGGAGGCGGATGAGGAGGAGGAGTCGGAGGAGGAGGAGTAGGTGGCGGGAAGCAGGAGTCGAGACCACAGTCTCTGTCCGAGACGAGGACCCAACGCAGGAGAGTTGGGAAATAGGGGAGTCCTCGCATTCGTGTCTACCTCTTCTGTGCCTTCCTGGCCTCTTCAGCCCTGGGCGGCCCCGCACGGCTGGATCCACAACGGCTTCTGGCAGCCCGTGCGCGCGGGGAAGCCGCGGCGCCGGCGGAAGCGGGAGCTGTGACCCGGCGCGGCTGCAGGCGGGAAGCGTCGGGGCGCACGCAGCAATGGTCAGTGTTGACTCGGCCGCGCGCAGAGTCGCAGGCCTGGAAACGGGCACCAGCACCAAGACAGGGGGTTGCCTCCACAGGGGGAAGATGAGCCTCGAGTTCGGTGTTGGTGGTAGCAGATCGGTCACCCTGGAAGCCAGAACATTGCCACCATGACCGAGATCGGGATCTTCGTCCGTCGGTGGAGGCACGGCGCCGATATTGGTGTTGGTGTCAATATTTAGGTCTGCGACAGAGGAGGGCAGGGGGAGGGGGGAATGCTTCTCTAGAGGCACCCCTGCTTCTCAGGAGGCTCAGAGGCTCGGGCCTCACCTGTCTAGATGCAGGGCTTGCGCCTCCTGAGAGGCAGCCTCTTATTGAGAGGCCTGCCCCCCGCTCCCCCTACAGTCAACCCGCATAGAAAGGATGCGCAACCTTCCCAAGGGTACCCTTGCATCCTTGCCCCTTCGGCCCATCCTTGGCCACTGTCGCTGGCCGCGCCCCGCTCGAAAAGCCTCGAAATGGGCGTCCAAGGCCCTTGCATCCTTCTCGCGCATCCTTGCTATACTGGTTGACTGTACCCCCCAGCACGCGCCGCCAACTCTGGCTGGCGCGTCTTTGGGGGGCCACGCGGGGCCGATTCTTCCCCCTCTTTCCGCCCTCCGCCGACCCAGGTGGCTGGGAGCTGCTCCGCGGCCCGCCAGGCTCTGCGGCGCGGCGGGGCCGACCCGGGTCTGCGCTGACCCACGCCAGGGCGTCCCCTGGCCCCAAGCTGTGCTCCCAGGGATTCGGTATCGTTTAAGCGATCCCCATCCCCGTCGAGACCCCCACCAAATCACCCCCCCAGTTTGGGATACACCCCTCGAAACCCGAAGGGAACGGCTCATATCCCCATCTAGGGGGCTAAATCGGCCAGTGGGGCCCAGGCCACGCCGCTGGGGATGGGGATCTGATAAGCGATACTCACGGATATGTCCAAGGAGCGCCGCCAGCCTGCACAAAAAAAAGAGGCCGTCGCCGCCGTCGTCGTTGTCGTCGTCGTCGTCGTCGGCGTCGGCGTCGGCGTCGGCGTCGGAGGAGGAGGAGAGCCCTGGCGTCCGGGAGTGGGCAAAAGATACACTAACGACGGCGCCCACATGGGTGTGGCGCGAGGGGGTTGGACTTCTAAGAGGGCGGCAGGACTTCTAAGAAGGTGGGGGCTACAGAAGCCACCATGCCTTCTTGGATGTCCCGCCCAGCCTGGGATCTTCTCTGAGAAGCCATATTTGGGCTCCTCCGAATCTGAGAAGCCATGGGGCTTCTGAGATTTTGCGGGCTTCTGAGGTCCTGGGGAAGTCGTGGGGGCTTCTGAGAATCTCAGAAGCCCGCCCAGCTTCTAAGATGCCTTCTCAGAGGAGGAGGAGGAGGATGAGGAGGAGGGAGGAGGGAGGAGAAGGCGGAGGAGGAGAAGGATGCTTCCCTCTGAGGGCCTTCCGCGACGCCCCTCCGCCCTCTTCGAGGGCCGCCCTCCCTTTCGGGCCGCCGGCTCGTGGGCGCGGGCGCCGCGCTTCGGTGCACCTCAGGGGAGCTCCCTCCGCCGCTTCCGGGCCTGGGAGGCGCCAGGTCCGCCAGGACAGCCTTCGGCGGATAGGGGAAATGCAAGCGCCGTGGGAAGGGACGGGTGGGAAGAGGAGGATGTCAGATGCGGCGCCTCCCTCCTCCCTCCTCCCTCCCTCCTCCCCCTCCGCCGCTGCGCCCGCCCCAGGCCAAACGAGCGGGGGGGGGTGAGAGAGCAGCCGCAGCAGCAGTCGCCGCCGCCGCATCAGCCGCAGCAGCAGCAGCAGCAGCAGCAGCAGCAGCAGCAGCAGCAGCAGCAGCAGCAGCAGCAGCAGCAGCAGCAGGCCTGCGAAGTCGAACTCTTCCGAATCCGTGCGACGATCTCCTCCCTCTCCTTGACACTCCCCCCCCCCCCTCTCCTCCATCCCCTGTCCTCCCCCCCCCTCCCACTCCCTCCCCCCCTCCCCGTCCCTCCCTCCCTGTCCCCTCCCGCTCGTCCCCGGGGCACCCCCCACCCCTCCTCGCCGGGGCCTGCCCCCCACCCCCACCGCCCCGGCGGGCGGAGATGGTCTACGTGATCCGGAAGGAGGCCGGCCTGCCAGCGGTCTTCGACCCCGTGGACCCGCTCTGAGGGCCTACCTCGTCGGGCGTTGCCAGATGACGCTCATCGACGCCAATCAGCGCTCATCGACGCCATTCGACGCCATTCGACGCCAAATCGGCGCTCATCGACGCCCAAATCGGCGTCAAAGCAGCGCTCTCTCATCGACTACCAGGCGCTGATCGACGCCAGGACACTGTCACCACGGGCTCGCGATCGGGTGTCGCCAGAGGTGCTCCTGGCCCAAGGCGCCCCCAGGATTTCCAGGGAGGAACCAGAGGCCTTCAGACCACAACTCCGCGAGACTCCGGAGGGCCCTTGGCCCCAGCTTCGTTTGCTCTCCGGGCCCTCGTTCTGTCTCCCCGCCCGACGCTGTGGTGAGCGCTTGGGAGTCTGCGCTCTTGACTCGAGCCGATACGTCCGGCGAAAACTCCTGCGAGGACGGGGGCCGGCCATGGGGGCAGATGGGCGGAGGGGCTCCAACGGTCGGTATCGTTCAGCCCATCCCCACCCCCACCCCCATCCCCCATCCCCTGCGACAACCCCCGCCAAATTGTGCCCTCCCAGTTGGGGAGGCGCCCCTGGAAACCCGCAGGGAACGACCAATGTCCCCGTCTGGGGGGGGGGGGGGGACTCGGCCAGTCTGCCCCGGCCACGCCGCGGGGGATGGGGATCGGTCAAACGATGCTCCAACGGCCAGGGGCAGCCTCCGCAGCCCCCCAGCGCCCGGCCGGCCGGGCGCACCGCACCGCCCCTCCTTCTTCCGGGGCAGCGTGTCGGGCGGGGGGGCGACGGGCCCCGAGGCGGCGGGGGGGGGGGTGGCGGAGGGCAAGCTTCGAGGGTCGAGTGGCGAGGTTTTCGGAGGTTCCCGGCGGGGTTCCAGCCTTGGCAGGGCTTCCAGCAGCTGCGCCTCGCCCAGAGCGTTCCCAAAGGGTGCCTGGATCGTCCCGAAAGGCTGCCGGAGAGCCGAGCCATGACCCGCAAGCAGGAGGAGGAGGAGGAGGAGGAGGAGGAGGAGGAGGAGGAGGAGGAGGAAGTGAGGAGCAGCAGGAGGAGAGCAGGAGGAGGAGGAGGGGAGCAGGAGGGAGGAGGGAGGAGGAGGAGGAGGATGAGCAGGGAGGTGGAGGTGGAGGAGGAGGTGAAGGAGGAGGAGGACGGGCTCAGGGGCCGCCCACGCATCGCCCACGGGGGCCCGACAATATCCACTCCGCCCATGAGCGTGCGGATTCGCTATCGGGGGCCTCTCGTCGATCTATTGTCTATTGGCGGTGTATCGCCGATTCCACGCTTTTTCCTCCTTCCACCTCCCTGAGTCGTCGTCGTCGTCCTCATGGTGGCTGTGGTTGCTTCGTCTCCGTGGTTGTGGCGTCGTCGCCGTCGTCGTGGCAGGAGGAGGGGGAAAGGGGAAAGGGGGAGGGAGGCGGGGCGAGGAGCGGATGAGAGCGATGGAGTAGGGATGATGATGATGATGATGATGATGATGATGATGATGATGATGATGATGATGATGATGCTGATGATGATGATGATGATGATGATGATGATGATGCTGCTGCTGCTGCTGCTGATGCTGCTGCTGCTGCTGCTGCTGATGATGATGATGATGATGATGATGATAATGATGATGATGCTGATATTGTTGATGATGATGATGATGCTGATGCTGCTGCTGATGATGATTATGATGATGCTGTTGATGATGATGATGCTGTTGATGCTGATGATGCTGATGCTGACGATGATGATGCTGCTGCTGCTAATGATGATGCTGCTGATGATGCTGCTGATGATGATGCTGATGATGTTGCTGCTGATGATGATGTTGCTACTGCTGATCATGATTCTGATGACGATTCTGATGATGCTGTTGATGATGGTGATGATTACGATGCTGCTGCTGCAGATGAAGATGATGATGATGATGATGATGATGATGATGATGATGATGATGATGATGATGATGATGATGATGATGATGATGATGATGCTGATGCTGATGCTGATGCTGAGGCTGATGATGATGATGATGATGGGAGGCCTAGAATGTGCGCACCCCTCGATGACTGGTGGAGCTGCTGGTGATGCTGTGATGAGGCTGATGATGATGATGATGATGATGAGGAGGATGAGGATGAGGATGAGGATGATGATTGATGATTAATGATGATGATGATGATGATGATGATGATGATGATGATGATGATGATGCTGGTGATGATGATGATGACACGGATGCTGCTGCTGCTGTTGCTTCTACTGCTGCTGCTGCTGCTGATGATGATGATGATGATGAGGAGGAGGAGGAGGAGGAGGAGGAGGAGGAGGAGGAGGTGGTGGTGGGGGAGGGAGGAGCTGAGGGGGGAACAGGAAAGCGGCACAGTAATGAGGATGGAGGAGCCAGAGCGGGGAGGTCAAGCGGGATGCGCTCGCGCCATATTTGTCGTCCCACTTGGCATCGCTCGGACGTGTGCATTTTTTCTTGCGAAACCGAAGCATTAACGAGAATGGACGTCCGAGCGATGGCAAGTGTACCCCTTCCACCCATCCTTTCCCATAGTGCTGTTTTTGTGCTCTATCCGCCGACGGCATGTCGTAGCGGACTCGGCACTCCAGCGAGGACCCTGTTGTGTTCTGCGCCATGTGGACAAGGGAGCTGCGCACATTGGAGGAGGAGGAGAAGGACGTGGCGATGAGCATGAGGACGAGCATTAAGTCGGGCCTGTCCCTCTACAGGAGGGGTATTCAGAAATAGTCAAACATTACGCTACCGAGAAACCCCACAAACTTATATTGTGGCTGGAGTGAGCATAGCTGAAGTGAAGCATGAGCGAATGATATTGGTGGCCGTTGCCCCGCCGATAGCGTTGCATGTCGAGAAAGTGCCACGACTGTTGAGCCCTCCAACATTGGCGCGTATAGAGATCGCGCTGAGGGACGACCCCCTGCCATTTCCTCTGGTGTCGAGAAAGTGCCACGCTTGTTAGGCCCTGCGACATTGGCGCGTATAGAGACCGCGGTGAGGGCGGCACCGCTTCTGGTGCGGAGAACATGCCACGCCTGCTAAGCCTTGCGACATTGGCGCGTATAGACACCGGGGTGAGGGACCACCCCCTGCCACACCGCCTCTGGTGTCGAGAAAGTGCCACGCCTGCTAGGCCCTGCGACATTGGCGCGTATAGAGTCCGCGCTGAGAGACCACCCTCTGCGCACCCCCTTTGATGTCGAGAATGTGCCACGCCTGCTAAGCCCTGCGACATTGGCGCGTATAGAGACCGCGGTGAGGGACCACCCCCTGCGCACCGCCTCTGGTGTCGAGAAAGTGCCACGTCTGCTAGGCCTTGCGACATTGGCGCGTATAGAGACCGCGGTGAGGACCCCCCCCCAGAAAGTGCCACGCCTGCTAGGCCCTGCGACATTGTCGCGTATAGAGTCCGCGCGGAGGGACCCCTCTCTGCGCACCCCTTTAGGTGTCGAGAAAATGCCACGCCTGCTAGGCCCTGCGACATTGGCGCGTATAGAGACCGCGCTGAGGGAGAGGGGAGATGGACCACCCCTGCGCACCCCCCTTTGGTTTTCGAGAAAGTTCGCACCCTGCTAGGCACCTGCAACATTGGCGCGTATGATACCGCGGTGAGGGACCTCCCGCCCTGCCCCTGCGCAAGCCGTCCGTTGGCCGTCCGAAAAAAAAAAGTGCCACGCCTGCTAGGCCCTGCGACATTGGCGCGTGTAGAGACCGCGGTGAGGGAACACCCCGTGCGCACCCCCGCTGGTGTCGAGAATGTGCCACGCCTGCTAGGCCCTGCGACATTGGCGCGTATAGATACCGCGCTGAGGGACCACCCCCTGCGCACTCCCTTGGGTGTCGACACAGTGCCACGCTTGCTGGGCCCTGCGACATTGGCGCGTATAGAGACCGCGCGGAGGGACCCCTCCTGCGCACCCCCTTGGGTGCCGAGCAAGTGCCACGCCTGCTCGGCCCCACGACATTGGCGCGTGTGGAGACCGCGCTGAGGGACCACCCCTGCGCACCCCCTCTGGTGTCGAGAAAGTGCCACGCCTGCTAGGCCCTGCGACATTGGCGCGTATAGAGACTGCTGTGAGGGATCACCCCCTGCGCACCGCCTCTGGTGTCGAGGAAGTGCCACGTCCGCTAGGCCTTGCGACATTGGCGCGTATAGAGACCGCGGTGAGGCCCCCCCCCTGCGCACCGCCTCAGGTGTCGAGAAAGTGCCACGCCTGCTAGGCCTTGGGACATTGGCGCGTATAGAGACCGCGGTGAGGGACCACCCCCTGCGCACCGCCTCTGGTGTCGAGGAAGCAGCTGTGCTGTGCTGAGCTGTGCTACGCGCTGTGCTAAGCTGAGCTCTGCTGAGCAGTGCTGTGCTGTGCTGTGCTGTGTACGTGCTGTGTGTCAATGTGCTGTGTTCTGTGCTGTGCTGAGCTGTGCTGTGCTGTGCTGTGCTGTGCTGCGCTGCGCTGTGCTACGTTGTGCTGTGTGAGAAAGAGAAGGAGGAGGAAAAGGAGGAGGGGAGGTGTGCGGGAGACGCGGGTGCGACGCGGCAAGGAAAAAAACCATAACCCCACGAAACATGTGGGGGGACATAGTCTTGGGACGAAGGGCAGCAGGAGGTGCTGGACGGGAGGGAGCTGGGGGAGCAGGAGGACCAGGGGGGAAGGCGGAGGAGGGGAAACGAGGGAAACGGCGATTACTTCTTTGAACCGTTGGTCGTGCACGGCACTTTTCTGGAGCTTCCGGTGACAGTATTCGAAGCAGAAGCTGTAGCGTTAGATGAGGCTTCTCGGGAGGCAGCAGCCCTATTGCAGTAGAGTAGAAACAGCTGAAGTTCTAGGCTTCTTGAGCTGCGGCAACGAAAGAAAGAAACGATGACAAAAGGATTCGGATTCAGACAGGTGGCCCGCGCTGTGGCGAGAGCGCCATTCGGAACGACGGGAGCACAGCACCGAGTCGAATGGTACAGCCGGGGCCCTGAAGAAGGAACCCTTTTCGTTGGGGAGGGGCTCGGTGTTCC